TGTGAGATTCATAATTACACATCAACAAGAGTTCAGCTTTAAATCTGAGCTTTAAAAAGCAGCATCTGGATCTCTGTGTTCTTTTTATTTAATATTATCAGTAAATGATTAAACATAGTGTGAAACTGCACTCTGTGGTATTTCTGCTCCACTATCACACAGTGTGTGTGTGCTGTATGAAGCGACACAGTTTGATATCCAAACCCAACACGCTCTTCGTTCTCACCGTCACCATCACAACTGGAGAGGAAGGGAAGTTCTTACTCAACCCTCACTCCCGAGAAACTCAACAACAATTTAAAATAAAGACTTTGACCTTCCATCAGGTCCTCGTTTAGCTTTTTCTTTTACTGCGATTCTTACAAAAAAAAACACAAACCAGAGTCGGCGTTGGGCCGATAAAGCAGCGGGAGCATTTTGAGATGTGGTCTCAGCTTCAGGGAGACCGGCTCAGGACGCTCCGACTTCAACATCCAACACGGTGAAACTCATCCCTCCTGCAGCCGGGAGGAGGCGCTCCGTCCTGCAGTTGGTGGGTGGGTCAGTGGGTGGTGGCGGGGTCCTCCAATGGGGGGGGGGCTCCTCCGTTCATCACCTCTTTTATTAAGTGTTTTCAACACGGCGGGATCGTGAAGAGAGAGCGTGCTGGGCGGCCGCTAGTCGTCGGCGTCGGGTTTTAAAGGAGGGCCGCCGTCCTCGGAGGACACGGGGAAGGTCTTCTTTCCTCGCTTCTGCACGTGGTCTTCGTTCCTCTTCTCCAACGCCACGATCTGTCAGAGGGTGGAGAGAGAGAGCGCTCAGCTGGCGGTCCCGGGAGTAATCTGTGTGTGTGTGTGTGTGTGTGTGTGTGTGTGTGTGTGTGTGTGTGTGTGTGTGTGTGTGTGTGTGTGTGTGTGTGTGTGTTACCTCAGACATGAACTCAGCCTCGTCCTCTGCACCCACGGGGATGTTCAGCCCGCTCACGGCGTTGAAGAGCTCGTACACGCTCATCGCCTCGCTCACGCCTCTCTTCTGGAAGAACTGAGGCGCGCACACACACACACACACACACACACACACACACACACACACACACACACACACAGTGAGACATGCTGTTGCTGTGACGTCAGCTTTAGTAGCTGCTCTGATTTCTGATCTTCACCTGAGTCACTTTTAAACATTACGTAGATTAAGTCGGCCGTTACCGTGGAGACGTTCCTGCAGTCTCTGAAGAGGAACTCCAAGCCGTGAGGATGGGTGGGCTCGATGGACTGACTGACATCTATCAGCCACACCTACAGCACAGACAGACAGACAGACAGACAGACAGATATGAGAGCAGCACAAAGAACTTAAATAAAGGATTTATAAATGGAGGAAGACGCGAAGAGGAGGAGGAAGAACAGAGCACAGGGAGTAAAATAATTTAAGGAAGTTCTTATCTGTAACATTTCCTCATTAAACAGACTGTTGATCCAGTCTGAAGCCACATTGTTACCATCCACTGTTTAGATCTTGGTGCTTTTTAACTCTAGATTTGAACCGGATGAAGGATTTTAGTCATCGGACGTCTGGATCTTAAGCAGCTCGGCTCGCAGCCCCTCCGGGACGTCCTTTGTCTGTCCAACAGCGTGGGAGAAGCAGTGATTGTTAAGGTGGAACTGCTTTATTCAGTGTGTTTAAGGTGGAACTGCTTTATTCAGTGTGTTTAGTGGTTTTAATCAGCGGGTCTGTTTGTGTTGGAGAGGAGGAGACCTCTGTGGATCATTGGGCTCCCGGTAGAAACCTCCTGAACCATGAACACTGAAGGAATCCTAACCGGGAGAAGCTGACTGCAATGACTCTTATTTTTAATGAGAGAGCTCCCTCTAGTGGCAGAAACGACACATTGCAGGTTTTAAAGGACCAAGAATAAAAAGGTGGAAACGGAGAGAACAAACGGATGAAGATGACACACGGTCGTACCTTCCCTTCGTGCCACAGCATGTTGTATTCACTGAGATCAGCATGAACCAGATTACACTCCTGATACAACAGCTGCATCAGCTGCACACAGACAGACAGACAGACAGACAGACAGACAGACAGACAGTTAAAAAGGGGAAAGGTGGATTACTTTCTTTAACACAGTATAAATCCCTCAGACACTGCGTATACGTTCAGTAGGAGGCGCGGTGCTCGCGGCGCTCTGTACGTACGTGGAGAACCTGGTAGAAGGCGTTCTTCATGTCCTCTGAACCCAGCTTGACGTCTTTGAGTTTGGGAGCGGGAACGTGGTCTTTACCGATGAAAGACATCACCAGGATGTGCTTCTTCAACAGCACCACCTCCGGACAGGGAATCTCCGCCTTCTTCATCCTGAACACACACACAGTAAAGTTACAGTAACTTACACACTGTGTTTAAAATCAAACTACCTTCAAAAGCTGTTTATATCATTTACTTAGAACTGGGGAGGGAGAGGGGAGGACATGGAATCAAACCTGGGTCACTGCCATAAGAACATGTTTTTTACATT